AGCCCCGGGAGCGGCGCGCGCGGCCCCGGCCCAGCCGCTCTGCCGGCCTCGCGCTGCACATTCTCTCCTGGCGGCGGCGCCACCTGCAGTAGCGTTCGCCCGAACATGGCGACACGGAGCAGCAGGAGGGAGTCGCGACTCCCCTTCTTATTCACCCTGGTCGCGCTGCTGCCGCCCGGGGCTCTCTGCGAGGTCTGGACGCGGACACTGCACGGCGGCCGCGCGCCCTTGCCCCAGGACCGGGGCTTCCTCGTGGTGCAGGGCGACCCGCGCGAGCTGCGGCTGTGGGCGCGCGGGGAGCCCCGGGGGGCGGACGAGAAGCCTCTCCGGAGGAGACGGAGCGCTGCCCTGCAGCCAGAGCCCATCAAGGTGTACGGACAGGTGAGCAGTTTTGCGACCCGCCTTCCGCCTGCTCTTTCCTTTCCCTGCACTTCCTCACCCCCCGCATTCGTCTTTGCTGTCGCCTCCCAGGTGCAGGCACCACTGGGGCTTGCCGGCTTGCATTTGTTTTTTTCACCCCACAGGAGTACAACTATCAGCACTTGAATTGCATTCACCGTCCCTTCTTCCTGTCGATTTTAGCAAACCTATTCCAGGGAACTCACGGGGTGCAGTCCATATTTTCCCCCAGCGTGTGTGCAGACCGGGGTAGTTTCCGGCAGGTAGAGAGGAGAGGTGCAGCTTCATTTTACGTGTGGATAAAACCGGGCTTTCTTTAGTGTATCATCAGTGGGCAGCCGAGCAGGCACCCCGCGGTGCAGTATACTTACACAGAACAGTCAGGGAGGGGGTTTCCACACTTTCCATTTTCTAGCCACAGTTAAGGTGGGCAAACCTATCTTGGTACAGTCAAAGCGAGTGTGTGTGTGTGTGTGTGTGTGTGTGTGTTAGGGCTGATTTTGTGTATGTGTGAGGGGCTGGGAGGAGAGGGTCTGTCTATTCCACCTACCAATCCAACCCTCTCCCAAGATAATGGCCTTATTTTGACCGGGTATATCCCTCACAGCACTTGGAGAGCTGAAAGACTGCAGGAATTTGGTGGGTATTATTATTCAGTAAGTGATTTATTTCTATCCAGGCAATGGGCTTATTAGATCACAAGTAACATGCTTTTCACTTTTATGGCTAGAATTACTACTAGGAATTGCAAACCGAGTTTGTGGTTTAGTATCAGCATTGGCAAAATTAATTTGCCTGTGTTATATTGCCTCATGAGACTTTGTGTCCTGCAGTTAAGATTGGCATCAGCAAAGCGCTAAGGTCCATGGGGGAGAAAAAGTGGGACTGGGGAAGGCGGTAGATATGCCCAATTTCTGGAGTGAAAATGTTCCCTTGTAAAGTAGAAATCGAAAGATTGGCTGAGTTCTGCTTCTTCCCACTGAGTCTCCTTTAGCCATTTCTTCAAGCAAATAAGTAAGAGTTAAATGCTAAACCCTTGGAGTGCCAGGAAGAGCTCTATAAAACATCATCCCTATTGTGTCATTTTGTTGATGAAGAAAGCAAAGCTGGGGAAGGGCTAAATGACTGGCCCCAGGTCGCTGGGGCGGGTGGCCTGCCCATTTGTTTTAGTCTGCATTGTCTCAGTGACCTCTGTGTGATCAAATAGTCACCCCAGCTAGAAATGCCTCTCAAATAACTCTTTTCCAAAGTCAAATATGTATGATTATAAAGAGGGGAAAGAACGGTGGGGAGGGGGCATTTGACTTCCAGCACCCTTCAGCCTTGGCATTTATCTGCTGGTAAGCTTGGGCTGCTGGAACTTGCCTACTGAGGTCCCTTCTAGGTCCTCTGCATGCCACCCATCTGAAACTTCTTTTTGTCTTGTTAAAAGAAGTCAACAAGGTCCTTCCTGACCCTCCACGGGGAGACTAGCCTCCTGAGGGAGGGTAGTGGAGAGAGGGAGGGAGAGAGGCTCCCTTGTTCTTAGCCACTGTCAGCCCTGCTCTGCTGTGGACTTGAACAGCTCTCTGGGGGCTGGGAATGGGGAGCGGGTGGGAGCCTGTTCTTGCCAGAGTTCAGTTCCTTCACCGATTAGTTTCGGTTGAGGGCAAAGCTTCCAGGTCTCACAGGTGCCCCTTCTTCTTTGGGTTTGGTTTATGAAAGCTCCTGGGCATTTGGGGCAAGTTGAAGATGAACTGTGTTCTCCTTGGGAGAGAGTCCAAACTCCCCAGCTTTTATATTCCTGAGCCAGCCCTATTGAGTTTGGTTCAGTTGAAGGATGGAGAACTGGCGGCGGAGGAATTCCTACCAAGAATGAGGACACTGAGCTCTGTTTTTTCTTTTGGAGGCTGCCATGGTCTGCCATTGTTTTCCATTGCTCCGAGGTTAATTAAAGTGGAATTAGTTTGAATCTTTAAGGATTGCAGTTAGAAGAAAGGAAGAACTTCCTCAAGCTGGGCTTTCTGTCTCAGGCACGATCTGGTGGAGGTGCTCAGGCTAATAGCACAGGGACTCAGGGGCCCAGGGGCTTGAGAGCCCCCCACCCCCTGGGAGCTCAAGAGTAAATCACAGCTATGTGGAATGACCTTGCTGGCAGGGGTGACCATTTGCCTGTTTTTCCTGGGACAGACCTGGTTTATAAGTTGTCTCTGTTGCTTATGAATAGTGCTGCCGTCATTCTCCTTACACAAGTGTAAGGGTGCAAGACCATAAATCACACGGCCATTCTACATCTAGTCCTAAACCCAGCTCCACCGTGTACCCTCAGTCCCCTTTAACTTCAGAACCCAAGGAATTGCAGTGTCTTTCCATAGTATGTCTTGGGTTGAGCGTGGTTCTGCACAGAAATGGGGGTGCAGACAGGGGCAAGGAAGATTTCATCCCTGCGTTCAGAAAGCCTACAGTTTCAGGAGGTAAAGTAGATGCAAATATAGGCATATTGAGGTACCAGACAGGAACCAGCAGACACAGGCAGAATAAACAACCACAGCTCTGCAGTTGGGGTTCCTGTGTGATAGGGGAGGGAACAGCGATGGAGTGATAAGGACCAGCCGGACTCAGACACTCCGCAGCTTCTTGCCCTCTGACCTTTGACTGAGGTTAAGGGAATGCCAGGCAACACAGATTAGGGCTGAAGCTGCCTGGCAAAGAAATCCTGATGGGTGATGTTAAGGCCACCGGCTTCAAGGAGAGGAGTAAGAAGCTTTTGCAGGGGAAGCACTTGCATCTGAGAAAGAGCTCTGTGTTGGAATGTTGTTTCTTTCAGGCTCTGTTGCTTGAAGCATAAACCAGGTTTAGTTATTTTGACCATATTCATCCTCACTGGTTTCTGTTGTGATTCCTTAGAGGCATGTTCATAATAATGAAGTGTGGTAAAAGTGAAACAATTTGCTGTCAAATATTAGCACTTTCCTTTTTATTAAATGCCTATATGAGCTTATTAATTTCCCCCCACAATTTTTATTGATTTGCCAATCGATTACCTAACTATAATTTTGGATTACAGTTCACTCTTTTCTCACCTAGTTCCCACCAAATCTCTAGCGCAATCCCCTTTCCCCACCCCTCACTCCTCCTCCCTGTCACCTCCGGTAACCACTACACTTTTTACAGAGTCAGAGTTATTTTTTACCAGTTCATTTTCTTTGGTTATTTGTATTCTGTAAATCAGCGAAACCATCTGGTGACTGTCTTTCACTTTTTGATTGACTTCACTTAACACAGTCATAATGGAACTACCTATTTTTGTCCCAGAAGGTACTTTTTCATGTTTTTTTTAAGGGCTCAGTAGTATCTCTTCTAGTAACATATTAGAATTTTTCTGCCCAAATTCAAAATTTAGACACTGAATCCATCTCCAAAGAAGGGGCTTGAGAAGGGGGTATCCTGTAATTCTAGCCATGCTGAATATTTTCCAGATTTTATGGCAGCCCCATGCCTTTGTGGCATCATGCTGGCTTTTTCTTCTGCCTGAAATGGGCTTCTGTCATTGCTTGGAAACTCCTCTTCCATCCTTCAACGTGCAAGGAATGCCTCCGAGTATCCCCAGGCTCCCTGGAAAGCGTTCCTTTGAGTTCTGCTGCCTTTGAGTTCTACTAGTTGTCCTGCCTTCTGTAATAATTGCCTGTTTAACTGTCTCCCCATTTGCTCCTTGAGGGCATAGGTAGACTTTTTCTTCTCTGTGCACCTGGCACGTAGTGAGTATTTGTGGACTGACTGCACACTTGGGAGAAGAGCGGTCTGCAGGTGAGGAACACACCCACGTTACAGAGGAAGCATTTATAGGGAGGATCTTGACCTGTCCATAAACGACCAGACAATGAGTTGGCTCACTCTGTGCTCAGGATGCCCATAGCAGAGCCCTGATAGAGCCCTGATTTTCCTATGCTATCCTGAGGGTGTTTTTTTTTTAACTTTATTTTTAAAGATTTATTTATTTACGCACACAAGAACTGGGGTACAGTCTAGAGGTGCAGGAGGTGAGAGGACTCACCAAAGACAGAGTAGGAACAGAGCAGGCAGATGTACTGAAATACACTACTGAAGGGAGCAGCAGGTGAGAAAGGAGTGGTCTACTGTGCCATGTGGGTCACCTCCCTGGCTGGGGATTGAACTCATGCTGCAGGGGTTGCTGACAGCTTCATAGTGCTGTGCTTTAACCTGTTGTGCCACCAGGGAGGGCTCCTCAGGGTGGTTTTGAATGAAGAGTTGGGATTCAATCATAAAGAATCTTCCTTTTTAGTGCTGTCATGGTATTGGCAATGGCATTGTTTTGGGGAAAAATCCTTTGGAATGAAGCACAAAGCCTAACAGGATTTACAGGTTTATTTTCCTCCCAATGAACTGCCTTTTCATAACTCCTGCTTTTCAGAGGCCAGGGAGTATTCAGTGTCCTGATTTGAGGCAAAATAAAGAAAGAGTCTGTTACTGCACAAGACCCTGGCACAAAGTCTTCTTTGGGGATGTGATACTGTTTAGCTTTCGATCTTTTGGGAGTAGATTCTTGCACGATACACTTGATTGGGAAAAGAATCCACTGGCTGGTTCTGAAGCTAGGAGGTTTGCCCTATGTGTTTCCAGAAGAAGTAAAGGCAAAGCATGTACTGTTTTAAGTGGGCTTCTACATGGGGGAGAGTTGCTTGCCATGTTGGGTTGACTCAATGAGAGATGTGACCTTGAGAACCTCCCTGGTTCCCCTTGGCATCTCCTACTGTCTGCTGTTCTTTGCCCAGTCTCTGACCACTCTTTAGCTCTCTATCAGCCTGAGTGTCTTGGGGCACGGCGGCTGGAGGCTTTGAGAGGTGGAAGGGGTGGGAGGAGAAGGAGACAGGGACAGGTGCCAGGAGATGGAGAATTAAAGACAGGACAGAAAGCTGTCACATTTGGTTTTTTAGCCTCAGGTAGGTCATATTTTAATATTTGTTTCAAAACACAATATGTAC